TTGCATCACATCCTGGATTAATCCAACTAACCAGCGTAGCAAAGAAAATTATTACGGGTTTTAATAAAAACATACAGGCAGCTCTCGATTTACATTAAACTGACTTGTACCAAAAACATTTGAGATTCATAGTTTATAGTAGCATTAACGTAAAAAGAGACACGCCTGTAAGTGAATTCATTCTATCTGTGTATATGCTAATGTATGCTCTTTTGTACATAGGGTCCCTGTCTAAAGGCTGGATATAAAGTCGCGCTCCTAACCTCACTGTCGCACTGACAAGACGAGCGTTTGAACGCGATCCACATGGCGGTCGCCTGGGTGAACAGCCGGGTTAGCAGCTTCACCACCTTCAGACGGGGGAGAGAACATGTCCAGGCACCGGTCACGTCTTTGCGTTACCACACGAAAAACACAGAGAAACGCCCATTACCTCCAACTCGAACTGACACCACTGGCTCTCTGACATCGACACGTTGGGTCTGGAGGCCACATACTGGAATATCTTCAGGAGAGGGCAGACATCTGGGGGCAACAAAAACAGCAACATCTGAAGGGTTTCCCCCCATCTGCATTGACCCCATTGAACAGAAGCTCCTAGGGCATTAGTACCATTAACATTAAATTATATGCATGCATATTTTTCACACTGTTTATTCTCTGTTACTAGTCTGTTATTTATGTATATATAATCTTGTAAATATCTGTATTCTGTGATTTTAGATTAACTTTATTGATCCCAGAGGTAAATTCTTGTGCATACAGCACTAAATAAGTAGCGTTAAAGCGAACATACAGTACTGTGCTAAAGTCTTAGTTTTATACATTTTGACTGCCTATTTATCTGGGTAGTAAGTATATATTTGCTCAGAAATAAACAATTTTACTTTAGAATACATGCAAATGAATAGTTAAATATTTTTTTTCAATTTCATCATTTTTTTTCTAAAAGTTACTGATATCTCGCTGGATGGTTAGATGAACACGGCTTCAGTTCCCAAACCTGTCCTTAGAGGCACCCCAGCCACTCCAGGTATTTGTTAATTTTCACCACCAGCTTAATTAAGTAATTCATTTCTGGGGATCTCTCCCAGTAATTGGAAGGTAGCTGTCTAAGGAGTGATCCTACTCTGCTGAGCCCTTGAGCAAAGGCTCTGAACCTGCACTTGCGTTGTCCTGGGTATGACGTTAATCTACACCCAGCCCTGCAAAGAGGTCCTCCAATTTAGAGGGAAATTTGGGGGTTGGTGGCAAGATTAGCACCCCAGCCACCAGAAAAAACTCATACCGATCCATTTGGACTGGTGTGGTGCTGAGGTATCACCCGCTGCACTCAGGTTCTCATCCTCTATTCAGTTCAATGTGGTATTGATTAGCTGTATGAGGTGTGCCGGGGATTAGGTCAGAAAAGCACATGGGTGTATTGGATGGTTGGTGCAAATACTGGGGAGACTTTAGTATTTAATCATAATATAGTTCTACACCAATAACATGATCATTTAAACATTACCTCTGATTGCCTAAGGCTTTTGCACAGTACTCTACATATTATTAATTAGTTATTATTATACATCTATTTTACTCCGTTACATATGTGCCTCTCCTGGAGCCGACACCTTATCGTGGTGGAGGGGTTTGCATGTTCCAATGATCCCAGGAGCTAAGCTGCCTGGGGCTTTATGCCCCTGGTAAGGTCACCCAAGACAAACAGGTTCTGGGTGAGGAACCAGACGGAACCAGTGCGGCTCACAAGACCCCTAATGATGAACAAAATATTGGATCCACGATTTCCCTTGCCCGGACGCGGGTCACCGGGGCCCCCTCCTGGAGCCAGGCCTGGGGGTGGGGCTCGATGGCGAGTGCCTGGTGGCAAGGCCTGCAGCCATGGGGCCTTGTCATGCACAGCGCGAACAAGGCACGTGGGTCCCCCCTCCAATGGGCTCATCACCCATAGGAGGGGCCAAAGGGGTCTGGTGCAGTGTGAGTTGGGCAGTGGCCAAAGGCGGGGACCTTGGCGGTCCGATCCTCGGCTGCAGAAGCTAGCTCTAGGGACATGGAATGTCACCTCTCTGATGGGGAACGAGCCTGAGCTGGTGCGCGAGGCTGTGAGGTTCTGACTAGATGTAGTCGGGCTCACCTCGACGCACGGCTTGGGCTCTGGAACCAGTCTCCTCGAAGGGGGTTGGACCTTCTTCCACTCTGGAGTTGCACACGGGAAGAGGCGCCGAGCTGGGGTGGGTATACTTATTGCCCCCTGGCTGGGCGCCTGTACATTGGGGTTTACTGCGGTGGACGAGAGGGTAGCCTCCCTTCGCCTTCGAGTGGGGGGACGGATCCTGACTGTTGTTTGCGCTTATGCGCCAAACGGCAGTTCAGAATTATTTTTGAAGTCCTTGGAAGGGGTGTTGGAGAGCACTCCTCCCGGGGACACTCTTGTTCTGCTGGGGGACTTCAATGCTCACGTGGGCAATGACAGTGAAACCTGGAGGGGCGTGATTTAGAGGAACGACCCCCCAATCTGAGCCCGAGTGGTGTTTTGTTGTTGGACTTCTGTGCTCGTCACGGATTGTCCATAATGAACACCATGTTCAAGCATAAGGGTGGGTGTCCATATGTGCACTTGGCACCAGGACACCCTAGGCCGCAGTTCGATGATCGATTTTGTGATCGTGTCATCGGACTTGCGGCCGCGTGTATTGGACACTCGGGTGAGGAGAGGGGCGGAGCTGTCAACCGATCACCACCTGGTGGTGGGCTGGCTCCGCTGGTGGGGGAGGAAGCCTGTCAGACCTGGCAGACCCAAGCGTATAGTGCGTGTCTGCTGGGAACATCTGGCGAAATTCCGTGTCCCCCCCCCCCCGGCAGAACCTGGGGGAGGCAGGGGACATTGAGTCTGAATAGACCATGTTCCACACCTCCATTGTGGAGGTGGCTGACTGGAGCTGTGGCCGTAAGGTGGTCGGTGCTTGTAGCTGGGCACCGGCGGTGAGGGATGCCGTCAAGCTGAAGAAGGAGTCCTATCGGGCCTTTTTGGCCTGTGGGACTCCAGAAGCAGCTGATGAGTACCGGCGGGCCAAGCGGAACGCGGCTTCGGCGGTCACTCAGGCAAAAACTCGGGTATGGAAGGAGTTTGGCGAGGTCATGGAGAACGACTTCCGGACAGTTTCAAGGAGATTCTGGTCCACCATCCGGCTTCTTAGGGCGGGAAAGCGGTGCAGCATCAACACTGTTTATGATGGGGATGGTGCACTGCTGACCTCAGCTCGGGACGTTGTGGGTCGGTGGAAGGAATACTTCGAAGACTTCCTCAATCCCACAAACACGCCTTCCAATGAGAAAGCAGAGTCTGGGGACTTGGGAGTGGGCTCGCCTATCTCTGGGGCAGAGGTCGCTGAGGTGGTTAAAAAGCTCCTCGGTGGCCAGGCCCCGGGGGTGGATGAGATCCGCCCGGAGTTCCTCAAGGCTCTGGATGTTGCGGGGCTGTCTTGGTTGACACGCATCTGCGGCATCGCGTGGACATCGGGGGCGGTGCCTCTGGATTGGCAGACCGGGGTGGTGGTCCCCATCTTCAAGAAAGGGGACCGGAGGGTGTGTTCCAACTATAGGGGGATCACACTCCTCAGTCTTCCTGGTAAGGTCTATTCGGGGGTTCTGGAGAGGAGGGTCCGTCAGATAGTCGATCCTAGGATTCAGGACGAGCAGTGTGGTTTTCACCCTGGCCGTGGAACAGTAGACTAGCTCTATACTCTCGGCAGGGTCCTGGAGGGTGTGTGGGAGTTTGGCCAACCATTCTACATGTGTTTTGTGGACTTGGAGAAGGCATTCGACCATGTCTCTAGGGGAGTCCTGTGGGGAGTGCTCCGGGAGTATGGGGTGCCAGGCTGCCTTATAAGGGCTGTTCGGTCCCTGTACAACCAGTGTCAGAGCTTGGTCCGCATTGCCGGCAGTAAGTCGGACTCGTTCCCGGTGAGGGCTGCCCTTTATCACCGATTTTGTTCATAACCTTTATGGACAGAATTTCTAGGCGTTGAGGGTGTCCGGTTTGGTGACCTCAGGATTAGGTCTCTGCTTTTTGCAGATGATGTGGTTCTGTTGGCCTCAACAGACCGTGACCTTCGGCTCTCACTTGGACAGTTTGCAGCCGAGTGTGAAGCGGCTGGAATGAATCAGCACCTCCAAATCCGAGACCATGGTCCTCAGCCGGAAAAGGGCGGAGTGCTCTCTCCGTGTCGGGGAGGAGGTCCTTCCCCAAGTGGAGGAGTTTAAGTATCTCGGGGTCTTGTTTACGAGTGAGGGAAGGATGGAGCGGGAGATCGACAGGCGGATCGGTGCGGCGTCAGCAGTGATGCGGGCGCTGCATTGGTCTGTCATGGTAAAGAAGGAGCTGAGCCAAAAGGCAAAGCTCTCGATTTACCAGTCGATCTACGTTCCTACCCTCACCTATGGTCACGAGGTGTGGGTAGTTACCAATAGAACGAGATCGCGAGTGCAAGCGGCCGAAATGAGTTTCCTCTGCAGGGTGGCTGGGCTCTCCCTTTGAGATAGGGAGAGGAGCTCGGTCATTCGGGAGGGACTCAGAGTAGAGCCGCTGCTCCTCAGCATTGAGAGGAGCCAGATGAGGTGGCTCGGGCATCTGATTAGGATGCCTCCCTGGTGAGGTGTTCCAGGCATGTCCCACTGGGAGGAGGCCCGGAGGAAGACCCAGGACACGCTGGAGGGACTATGTCTCTCGGCTGGTCTGGGAACGCCTCGGGATTCCCCCAGAGGAGCTGGAGGAAGTGGCCGTTTCCCTGCTGAGACTGCTGCCCCCGCGACCCGACCTCAGATAAGCGGAAGTTAATGGATGGATGGATGGCATATCATGTGTGAAGTGCCTGACTGTGCATCAGGACATATTCCCTTGGTGATACAGAGGAAACGGCACGCTCATCACCCCAGGTCTGGTGCTCAGCTCGGCTCCTGAACACTGGCGAGGGGCCCTTACCCACATGCGAGCACAGCAGCATTGCCACCTCCGTGTTGGCGGCGGCGACGGCCAGCAGACTGACGGACAGGTGCGCCGTCTGAGAGGACGCGTCTGCGCTCAGGCACCGGGTCACGGACTGACGGCACAGCAGGCTCTTCATCCTGAGGAGGAAGGACAGCAGCTCAGTGCATGTGGGGATGTCCATTCACCTAGACACAAAGCCACCTCTGCAGTAAATAAAAAAGCATCAGTCTGCCTGCATATTCCCATTGTACTGTAAAGTCAGATTGTTCCCCAGTAAGTGCTGGCTGTGGTCTATTCTGAAAAACAAATGATTTACTACAGAATTCCGTGCAATACTTTCTCCAACATTCTTTGCACTGTTACTGATTATTGATTATTATTCATTGTTACCGTTTATTAATGTGTAAAATGTGTATTATGTTACTGTAAACCTGCAATTTCCTAAGGGATTAATAAAGTATCTACCTATCAATCCATCCACCCATCCATCCATCCATCCATCTCTCTCTCATAAAAGACAGGTAGGAGTATCGCAGCCTGAGGCCTTTGAGCAGTATGTCAGCTGCTGGTGTACACTTTCATAATTAATGCACTTCTTTTGTAGGTTTTATGTCACCTGGGTCATCTTGACCGGATCAGAATGCCTGCAATGTGAAACAGACACATGGAACGAAGAGCAGGATGGCTCAGGATGATGTTTATGAGCAAGGGGGTTGTGGGGGGAGGGGGGGCTGCAATCTCCCAAGAATGTACAACATCCAGTGTGGGGCCAATTAAGCGTGAAGTGCTGAGCCACACCAAGACAACAAAGAAATATCTATAAAAAAATCTAGAATTCGAGTAAAATACTGTTCAGCTCCCCCTAGGGTTTAATTATTCCCAGAGCTCAGCCTTTTTTTCTGTGGCCCCAGGCCCTGCATAAAGGAGGAGCTCGCTCTTATCTACAGTACATACAAACACACACGTAGCAATGAAGTGAGAAATGTAATTTACTTAGTCCCAGGTCACGGTTAAGCTCATTTTGTTTCCTATTCTGTCTATTGTCACAGAACTGTTACTGCACTCCAATTCATACCTCAAAAATCTCCAGGCAACATTAATTGACTTGGATTTCTTTAGACAGGAATGTGCTCTATTATTTTAAATGTTTAGGTCTGCCTGTATTACGTATATAGAACAGGCCTGGTGCAGGAGAGCTGGCTTGAACAGGAAAATGCACCACATTTCTCAATGTGCCAACGGCCTGCAGTGTGAAAGAGAGACCTGTAGGGGGCACTAATGAGAGTCAGGTATTTTTTCCCCAGAAAATTCCACCCATATGACAAAGGAAATAATGCCCTGAAATTGCAAATAATAATAAAGAACTTTTGTGGCTGCAGAGTCTCAGTAGAAGTTGTCACACTTAATGGCACGGGAGGCACAGGAAAAGGAAAACCACACAAACTCACATGCGCAGCAGCTCTCCGCCAGAATCCTCGGCCAGTGCATTGAGCACCTTCAAGCTGCTCGTCAGAACCGCGTCCCTCCGACGGGCGGCACCGGCCACCGCCGGGTCAGTCAACCGCAGCAGCCAGCGCAGTAGGGGGTGCAAGAGCTCCGCCCCCTCACCACGATTCCCCCCAGAAGGCTCTGGAAAGGCCGGGCCGGGCATAGTCCGTTCCACATCTCTTTCGTCCGTGTGCTCCTGGGCCTGAGAGGACAGCAGGACGCGCACCACCTCCTCGCTGTGTGACACTAGGTGGCGCAAGGCTCCAAGCGAGGCGAGGGCCAACTCCTCTGAGCTGCTGGCGGACTCCTCACCAGCTGGGGCGGAGTCAGGAGGCGAGGCATCCCTCAGCAGACTCCCGGCTGGCCTGTCCACTGCCTCCAGCGCCCGGCAGAACAGGTCCACATGCTGCTGGAGGAGGGGCAGGAGGTTCAGCGCCTCGGGGCATGAGCGCTCCGACATGGGCGCCTGAGGAGGGAGCCGGGGGTATCCCAGTGCCAGCCTGGACAGGCCACACATGGCGAGGCTCTGTATCCGGCCGAAACTGCCGAAGGCCCCATCCTGCTGCTTGGCTTCCATAGGGGCGCGGCTGGAAGACTCTCTGGGGGGAGAGAATTCCCAAAATGCAAACCACAGACGTGTTTTACATAGCCAAGGGCAAAATGGGAACTCTGCACAGAAGGAGAACCAAGCTCATGGTGGACTGCTCATATTTGCGTGCACCTGGCATGCTGCATTACCCTGTAAACAAAGAGCCAGCTGTTTGTTCCAGCATGACCCGGATCTGAACGGATCTCTATAGACAGGATGAGACAGGTCTGCAGAAAGGCTCATGTCTGGTGATAGTTACAATAAAAGGGGAGATCCCTCTTAACAAATTAAAGGATCTGATTCTTCTGAAACGATTAAATGTATAATCACATCATTTACTTTATATATTTATATGTGGGTGTTTAACTCAGCAGGTTAGGGGTCTGCCCTCGCATCCAGAAGGTGGTGGGTTCGAATCTCATTCTGTCACTATATATCACTATCATCACCTCTGGGGCCTTGAGCTAAGCCCTTAAGTTTAGACCGCTTTGGATCAAAGCATCTGCTAAATTAATGTAAATATTTGGTTAACAGGATACATGACAACAGAGCCCCTTCAAGGCCTCAAACTCACAACCATTTAGTCATGGGTAATCCTCCTTAACCATTTCTCAGTTCCTGTTTGATTTAACTAATCAGTAAACACTGCAAGTGACCAGCATGAAGTACCCCCACCCCCAGGGCCAAGCCTTACAGGCTGATGGAGCCATTCTGGGACAGCGGCCAGGGCAGGGCATCCGGGCTGACGCACAGCAGGTGACAGAGGCCCAGCGTACTGGGGTCCAGGGGGTGCTGGAGCAGCAGGTTCAGCAGAGAAGACCCTTCAGGAGAGGATGTGGCGACAACACAGGAAGTGAGGAGCAGGAAGTAAGGCATGAGTCACAGTGCAAACATGCCAGCAGAAACCCACAAAACATCAGCTTGATAGTCATGGAGATATTTCACAAATTCATCTGTATTTAAATAGCTGTTTATGGCGGCTTGTCAGGAATCCCCTTAACTCACGCTCATGTTACTGAATAAACCTAACAAATATCTTACCTTGACTATGACACGAGTGCAAACTGGACGATTTGCCTCGATGTGCATCATCAATGATGTTATTCACAGTTCCGTTCACAGGTTTTCCATCTTAAAAGGACAGAATTATCACAGCTGAGGGCACCTGTGCGACAGCAGGTTCTGTCACTTTAATTAATATCAGTCCATTCAGGTTTTTGAGAGAACTAAGGATGGAATAAACAAAAGATTCCCTGAGAAGTTCTTTGTTTACTGTTGTGCCTGGAGCAAGATACATCAGTTACTGTCAGTAATTACCGGGCAATATCAAAGTGTGAATGTGAAACTGTGAAAAGCACAAAATGAAATAGATACTCTAAATAAGAGCGCAAAGGACCTTTCCCATCACAGGAACTTCTTTCAGAAACCAGAAACTTGTTTTGTTTCCACCACAGGAACTCAGCCCGATTGTAATTCCAGGTCTTTTTTTTTTTTTTTTTTAAATGCCTACTCTAGACTAGGCACTTTTCGGACAACCAGGAACTACTGGGGTGGGGTTTATAGCGATAGACTTTACTGACTGGTTGACCACAAGCACCAGCTCCAACATGGAAGTTATGCAGAAGTGCAGGGAACAGAGAAAATGGAACAGATGGAATTCATTTTCAACAGCATTAAAATCATAAATGAAAACCATTTTTTGCTTGCGTTTCAATATTTCTGCCTCAGATCTCAGTAATCCAATGTAAAACTGCTCTGGCTTCTCTGTCATGAAACGTGCCAGGGATGATTACGTTACATCATCTTTTATTCTGCCAGATTTAATACCTCTTCTAATTAGAGCCACCCGTTCTGTTTTGAAGCAATATGGGACAATAGACGGCCCAGGAACTCGGAAACAGGATCCTGAACTTGGTGGTAAAGTGTCTCATGAGACCAGGAGGGTAGATAAGGGTACTTTGAAGATCACGCCAAGGACGGTTGGCATGGGAACCTGAGCAACACTGGGCCTTTGCAGCTCTGGCTGTTAGTGTTTTTTTTTATGCAGGGACAGTTTACAGTGATAGTAGTGATAAAACACTGCATGAGGTCACATTGCTGATCTTGTAGTGTGGTTACTGGGGGGTGACGACCGGTCCACTGTCTCAGCAGCAGTCTTCTGAGGTCATCAAAGGATGCTCACAAACAAATGGGTGAAAATGTACAATGCTGTACACCCCGGGAGATCAGGGATGCATGGCTCCTGCCCTCCAAAAGAGGGAGCACTACTTTAACAAATTCATTATTCACTGGTGAAATAACCTGTGTTTTAAGCTATCAGTCAGGGTGTGGGTTAGGGATCAGTCTGTTTCTTCACACTTTCCAGACGACAGAGCAGTTGCATACGACCCCTTAATTAAGCTATGAAGTAAGCGTGCTAAATATGTTACCTTCCTTCGAATGCTCTTTGAGTGGCGATCTTCCCTTGGGCAGCTGGGCTGCAAAGGCCTCCTTGGTGAGGAAGTGGCTGACGCCGGCAGAGGGCCCGCCCCCCTCCTGAGGGTGCGGGAGCAAGGATCTCCTCTTCGGACTGGGGGGGACACGGGGGAACGGTGAGAATGGCGACTTTAATCGAGACCAGCTCACAGCACAACAGCAGCCGTGTATCGCCGACTTCCACTTCCACTAAGGAGGCGTAGCTCGTTTTTACAGTCCATTTGCTAGATGTGTTCCAGATGGATCCGGATCACTAGGCTGCTTAGTCGCACGTGCAAGTAACGTAGAAATCTTATAAATACAATCATAAAAACTGAGAAGAAATTCTTAAAAAAAACAGTGTACAGTCGTCCCTCGTTTATCGCGGTTAATCCGTTCCAGACTCTACCGCGTTAAATTAATTTCCGTGAAGTAGGATTCTTTATTTCTTTATTATTCGGCTGCACCTGGCGTTGAAGGATTTGCGGGGGTGCTCGAATACATAGGCCTACAGCCATACGTACAGTAATTTTAATTTTAATTGTAATACAAAGGTGTATAATTGACTCAGACAATCGAGCGCGCATTTTCATTGTCTATCAACTTTTTAATTAATAAATGTATTTGAAAAAAACGCGATAGAGTGAAGCCACGAAAGTCGAAGCGTGAAATGGCGAGAGACGACTGTATAGTCATACAATCATGTTCAAACGATTTATCTACTTCAGAGAAATGCAGAGGCTATCCTCAAAATCCAAGAGCACGAGGCAGGGGACACCCTGAGCAGGTATGTCTGTCCAGCATGAGGAACAAACACTATTGGCAATTAATAGAGACCCATAAACCTAACTGCATGCTTCTGGACTCCACACAAACAGGGACGGGAATCGATCCCTCAACCCTGGGGGTGTGTGTCAACGATGCTATCCAAGGAACCACCGTGCCACCGAACGATGATCCACAGAATGCTGCATTTCCGCTTAAAGAAGCATGCGGCCGCCGCTGGGAGCTTAAGAAAACCATGAGAGGCTACCATGAGAGAGTGAGGGGAGGCAATAAAAAAGGCTAACAGAATGTTGGGTTATATCTCTAGGTGTGTGGAGTTTAAGTCAAGGGAGGTGATGTTACACTTATATAATTCCTTGGTAAGACCCCACCTAGAATACTGTGTGCAGGTTTGGTCACCATACCTCAAGAAGGACATTGCTGCCTTAGAAAAGGTGCAACGAAGAGCTACGAGAATGATTCCTGGTCTTAGAGGAATGTCTTATGAGGAGAGATTAGCGGAACTGAATCTGTTTAGCCTTGAGCAAAGGAGACTAAGGGGGGATATGATTCAGGTCTATAAGATTCTAACGGGTCTGGATGCTGTTCAGCCAAATTACTATTTCAATATTAGTCTAGATACTAGAACTCGTGGCCATAAGTGGAAATTAGCGGGAGAACATTTTAAAACAAATTTGAGGAAGCACTTCTTTACACAGCGTGTAGTCAGAGTATGGAATAGTCTTCCTACTAGTGTAGTGGAAGCTAAAACCATGGGTTCCTTTAAATCAGAGCTAGATAAGATTTTAACAACTCTGAGATATTAGCTAAGTTCTCCCCAAACGAGCTTGATGGGCCGAATGGCCTCCTCTCGTTTGTAAATTTCTTATGTTCTTATGTTCTTATGAACGAAAGCTCACCTGTTTCTCATGGTGGGTGAAGCGGGCAGCTTAGCTCGTTCCGAATTCAGAAGCTTCGTCTTCATCTCATTTATTTCCACTTCTTTAAAGTGCAACTCAGACTGCAAGCACTGAACCTGCAGAGAGAGAGGTAACGAAGCTGGGAGCATGCGCATGTGAAAGCTGGCTCATGGCACATTTATTAATGTTGAAAACACAACATACCAAGTAAATAATCTTAAAATATACAAAACTGTACTTTGTTTTGTACATAGTGATAATTTCATGCTTATTTGAGCCACTCACTTTGACCAACCACAAAATAAAGAGCATCCCGTGAAGAAAAAAAAATGAATGTAAAAACTTACATCAAATTATTGCCTTTAACTGTATTTAGATATTTTTCACTAAATTTAGCATACAATATATATCACAATACACCAACAATGTGACAACACTCTTGGGCAAAAAAAAAATGCGCCAAAGCTCAATGTTGTGCAGTTTGGATTTGGCCCATTGTTATGCTTGTGGGAGATTTACTTTTTAAAAATGTTCTGAGGGCAGAATGAGAAATGATTGGTTCAGAGAGATAACCAATCAGATTGTAGAGAAGGCAGGACCAAAACATCTGATTGGTTGTACCCTCCTCCTGCTGTTGCTTGGACCCACCTCCTCTATAATCTGATTGGTGAGACCTCTGAACCCAGGAGTGTATTTACCAAACAGCACACAGTAGTTCTGCAGTCTGAATGTGAAACTTGTCCTTTATGAACACAGGTGATACAGCAGCTTAGCAGACACCCCCAGGAGCTGCGGCCCCGCTGCTACCTTTTTGGAGAGTGCCTTCTCCTTCTCAGTCTGCACCTGGGCTCTCTCCTGCTCCTGCAGCAGCTGGGCCTGCCTCTGCTGCTCCTTCTCCTGCTTGGTTTGTCTAAGGGAGTCTCGCAGCACCTGGATCTCCCCATTCTTCATCAGCAGCTCCTCCTCCACCTCCTGCAGCTGATTACCCCAGATGCAGCATACACCATGAACACCCCAAACGCCGTTATTGTTGTTATCTTAGGTATAATCTGCTGGTTAATCTGAAAATTCCAGCAATAATTTAAATATAATATAGTATAATACTGTGTTGGCGACTGCCCAGGGTTGGTTCCTGCCTGCACCCATTATTCCCGGGATAGGCTCCGTACCCCCCCGCAACCCCGGTTAGGATTAAGCGATAACGGTGATGGATGGATAATATAATACCTTGCATTTGGCGCAAGACAGGAACCAAGCAACCATTGCAGTACACACTCAGTCAGACATATAGTCAATTTAGACACTCCAATTCACTTATGTTGCATGCTTTTGGACAGTGGAAGGAAAATGAGAGGATCCAGCAAAAAGCCACGCCCACAGGGTGAATACGCAAACTCCACACACACAAAGCGGCAGTGTGCGGTGGCAGCGCTACCCACAGTGCCACAGTGCCACTCTCAATAAAATGATTCCTTTTCAACTTGATCTAGTGTATGTTAAAAGAAAGTTTATCGCTACTGCTTTTACATCAGCACTCTATGAGACAATCATAATCATTATCGTCCTTGCTGTTGGGCTCACTCATAGACTGTGTGGCGCGTTTGTGAAAAATTAAACAAAAATAAGTGAAGAATGTAATACAAATAAAATACAACATAATTCTTTTGAAATAATAAATAATCTGATAATAAAAGTGTAAAACTTACACCTTATAAACTTAAAGGTAATATATAATATCTTCAGGATACAGATTCAGTGCCCTGGTGTCACACACTACCAACAGGCCAAAGAAAATTTAACATGCACTTATCTTTACGCATGCAGTATATCACAGGTATAGTGTGTCAAAAGGGTGGTTTTTATACATGCCTACCTTCTTCTTGAGCTCAGCTTGTTGTGCTTGGAGTTGTTCACAGATAATCTCACACCTGTCCGTTTTATTCTGCTGCTGTCCCTGTCCTGCATCCCCATGCCACAAAAAAGATTGCATGACAACTGGTCAGATGCTAACCAACACACACCATTTCATGTTGTGTACAAACACCACAATATTTCACCAGAATAACACAGACACATATTTCAAAACTGAATTCTGTCGTTTAAATAGATTACATTGTGTGTTACAGTAAGTTTCAATTATAATTATTTCCACCTGTTTACAAATAAAGAGCAAAGAAATGAATGTGGCTTACTAAAAGCTTCCATTGTTGCATTCTTCAGACTGGTCCCTGCGTTCCTTCGAGCATCACCACTGACTCCTGCTGAACCAAATGTCCTTCTAGCCTCTAGTCCAGCTTTGCGAGGTGGGCCCTGGCATGGAAATCCGGAGCCGCGGGTTTCTTTGGGGGAAGGCGGCGCTAAATCGTCCGTGATTGCCTGTGATGCGATTATATCTATTTCATCGAGGTCAGCCTGGGTGAAGTCCTCATCATCGCCAAACGGGTCTGCATCAGGATGAGCATCGTACCTCTCCCCTTTGAGACGCTTGTTCGGCGGGTACTCCATAACAGCGACAGTGAAACACTTGGCCCCCTAATGGTCCTTACTTATTCCCCAATGAGCCGCTTCTCAGTCTGAGAAATAAGGATAATATATGTATAATATGAAACAAATGCATGAGGCAACAGGCAGATCCTATTAACTATAATAATTAAAATGCAGACTACGTTTTACACTGAAACTCCCCACGGAAGGCTATAACACAAACATTTCTGCTTGATAAACTAATAATCTAATTAGATGTTATAGTCACGCTACCAGTGGGTTCATTGATAACAGTAACTTCAGTTGTATCTTTAGTTATGTAACTTTATTGAAACAATGATGCCTTCCAGTGGACCGTCTACTCACGATTATGTGCCTTGAATGGCTGGAGGAATGACGGGCAGCAAGCAACATCTTTTAGAAGCCACGCTTCACTGCTCCTCATGATTATTTTTTTTACATTCAGACAGTCAATGTTGTTTTGTCGTGAAAAAGCACGCTACTCTGTTATAACATAGCCCCACTCCGTACTCAACGTGAACCACTCAGCTTTTTGAGCAAACCACACAATCACTTTCCAGCAAAAAAGTAAGGTAAAATTTCATTGGAAGATACGGCAGGAACGCTGTCTCTGTACGGAAAGCCAATAAGGACAAAATATCTTGCGTATCTGAAGTCGTTGGCTTGAAAATGCGTATATACGCACACGTACAGGGAACATGGCAATTTACGGATAGTCATTCAATATACTTATTAGTATTTATTTTATTTACAATAACAAGTCTGCGGACACAATTGTCAGTTTTTCATGTGCAATGTTCAGGTTTTCATGTTCAAGTCATTTTATCGTATAAAGTTAGTCGAGTAGTAATATACAGTCAGCTACATTTGTAAAAACCTGGCGGATTTATTCAAACGACTGGGAAAAAGTCAGATTACACAATAATATATATTTAGTACTACATGCATGAGAGTACAATGAACACTAGCCAAGCGAAATATTTACAAAAAACGCTTTATTTTCAAGGGGAAAAAAAACTCAACACATTCCCTTCGGATTGGATGATTTTCACATAACCTCCATCATGAGCCAATCATCGTCGAATGCGTTCGTCTAGTGCGGCTCAAAAACAAAATCCCCCACTTTGTGCGCTGACGTCAAGAGGACCGCGTATCGTGATTGGCTGGCCCTGGTTGTGTAGCCAGAGAATGTTTACCATCCGTGTGAATGAGTAAATTTTCCCTGATGAAAAGAACGTCGATAGAGAGTAAAAAGTAAAGAAATTTAGCTTGATGTTAAGTGATATAGGTTACCACAGTTAAAGAAGTGAGGTTACAGTGTTAGTATTAACAGAGCATAAAGTCTTAATTGAACGTCTTGACATAGTAGACTTGCTTTGTGATTGTTGGTTACAGCTGTATGAACAAAGGGAAAAGTGTATCTCAGACGGGCCTGTGGATGGCCTTTCTTGTTTTTGTATTGGGCTATAACGTTAAAAAAACTCCGCTTCCTGTGTAAAATTGCTTGCATATACCCATTTTGGCGAATCCCGAAAGCGTTTGTACTTTCCAGTGTTTGATGAGCAAAGCAAGTTGTTAAAATGAAAACTGAGGTTTCGGCTGCTGCGAGTTTCATCACCAGATTGCTGAAAACTACCGGACTTTTGACGGAGGAGCAACTCGAACAGTTCAGCCTTTCGCTGGAGAAGGCTTTGGGAGGTGGGTGTCTTTCTGTCTCGACTTCATTACAGCGTGAGCGTGTAGTTTTTGGGTGCCATTGGCATACGTGTGTGTGTTATATTACCGAAGTCAGATACCTCACTATAAGAATATAGTTCAGTATCTAGCTGAATGTTACCTCTCGTTAGAGCAGTAATACGTACAGTCGCAGTATTTGTAAAGTTGAAGTTAAAATCCAGAGGATTTGTTTGGACATAAAGGTTGGTGGATCTCAAAGCAAAGTTCTGGATGTTTTTTGTATCGCCCCTCCCCCAGAGCACTATCAGCACCACTGGTTTCCTCAAACCCCCTGCCGAGGTTCGGGTTACCGATGCATCAGGATCAACCACGAAATGGATCCTCTAATCGCCAAGGCAGCGAGTACCGTAGGACTCTCCCAGGAGCAACTTTTCCTGCTGCTTCCGAGTGAACTGACGATGTGGATCGACCCGTACGAGGTCTCTTATCGGATAGGGGAAGACGGATCCATCTGTGTTCTTTATGAGTCCACGCCACCGCCACCAGTACTGGCAAATGGAGGTTCCACTGATAAAATGATCAGTTGTAAGGATGAACTGAGAATAAGGAGGTCAAGTTCCTCTAAACCTCTTAGTATGATGACTGTTTCGAGCTAATTTTTTTCTCGTAATAAAAAGGCTTATTTACGGTCTGTATTTTCCTACATTTAATGTAGATCTACACTTCTAAGAAAACAAAGATTAGCGATAGATTTTAGTATTATTAGTAGAGAACGTGTGTCTAAAACTTATAGCCATAGATTGTACCAGGATGTATTCTTTTAAAAGGATCTTACACTAATGTTGTAAATGTTTTACAAAGTGATATCAAAGTAAATTGATGATTTCCAATAAAGCTCTGATGTCTACTTGGTGTTCTTTGGTGAGTTTTGATTACTTTTTAGTCATTATTGATTATTAGGAATAAACAACAGTACAACACACATACATATTAGGCAAGTGTGTATTTTGCTTGTATCTTCCCTTCCAACCAATAGCTTCACTACAGATTAATCTCCAATTAAGAACTATCTTTAAAATATGGAGCATTGTCAGCATTTGGTCTGAGTACTTTCTGTTTGAAATTAAACTGGAAACTGTAGATGCGTTCCTCTGCAGAATTATTAAACAAATTATTACTGCTATTAAAACAGGTCAAAATAGAATCTTATACAGAGCAGAGAAAAACAAACCACAAAGGCTGAAATATGATATCCACCCACTAAAGTATACAAGGTAAAACACTTAAGATTGGGTATGGATAAGTCTCAAGATTTTACGAAGTTTTCATGGACAGATGATTAGAGTGACTCTTGATCGACCAAGTGGATGGACACCATCTTTAAACGCGAACAAGGTGGTGGAGCATGATGATGTGGGCTACAATTATCAGTGATGAACAAGAAGTCAGCAGTTTTCAAAAAGGTTATGATACATGCAGGACAATGCCCCTTCCCATGCAACAAAGTATCCAATAGATTGGCTAAGAAAGGCTTGAAAGCTGACTGAATTATGACCAGACCCCCTTCATCGCATGACTTAATTAATCCCCATAGAAAGCTACTCTGCCTTTCTAAACTGAGATTTACCAAGATGGCAAGCAGTACACTTCTCAGAGCAGCGTCTGGGATGCGGTCCTAGCTGCCTCAGCTAATATAGGATGTGCTCAAATCAAAAGCTTGATTGGTTCAATGAATAACAGGCTCGTGATGGTCACTGAGAAGAAAGGTCACCATACAGGACATTAAACTTAATAAAGTGGGCTGCATAGAATGGCCAATAGTTTATTATCCCTTACATAAACTGAATAACTAAAACTGTTTTTAATTATTATTTCTGTTGATGGTGAAGAGAAAAAATCCACGTAGTTTCTGATTCATTGCCTCATAATTATGCACACTGATAATCATTTTTTTTTTTTTGCAACAGACTAATGTAACATTTCTGAATTCACTTTTATAAGCTTGTCCAACTTCTGCTAACATTATCTCCAGGAACAGTACTTGCCTAATAATTCGGCACACAGTGTACATGGAGGAAACTATTAATATGTTTTTCCTAAAACTTATTTAGGACATGGGCTCATGATGAACATGAGGATACCCTGGATGGTGCCAATCCAACACAAAACAAACCCACAACTTCTCACTACAGGCAATTCATTTAAAGACACTGATTCACCTAATCCCTTGTTGCTGGACTGCAGAAAGAAAACCCACACATATGCAATTGGAATATACCTGAAGGTAAGATTACATATAGAAATAAAATTAGTATGATATTCAAATGGCCATATTTTATGTTTTGCTTCTTTTGGCTGAAGGTTTGTATTGCTAGTACTGTACTCATTCTATGGTAAAAGCAGGGCTGAAAGAACTCTTATGTCTGGGAAACAAATTAATCTTTGATTAATAACTCAACCCTGATTAAATCCTGCAGTTCTTCATATAGGTATTATTTTACATTTTCATCTACTAATTATCAATGAAAAGGTGGGGATTCCAAACATAGTTGACATTTTATACCACATTTATATTACTCTAATTCTCAGTTGTCATATTCAGTCACAGTAATTTTGGTATCTGAAGCATTATACTCTAACTAAAATGATTAATTTCTGAGCTCTGTAGTACTGTGTCATAAGATGGAATATAGTTCTCTAAACACTATAGGTTTTTCTGATTTCACATTCAGGGTGTCCTCAGCCACATTCCTTGTGATTCCTAGTGCTGCAGGTCTATTGTAACACATTGTACATGGATTGATGGATGGTGGCAAAGGAATCAAATCAGTGACTGCCTTCACAGGACTGAAGGCCATTAGTGCAGCTCATCTGATTTATTTAAAAAACCTGGGTCATAGTAATTATGAGGGTCCAAAACGTACAGTCTTATATGTATCCTTATCAGAAGGCACTTACTTACACATAGAAATGTCACTAAAACATGATTATCGGCTATTTTTATTTAATCGTATATGACTCTAATTAAATTCGCAAAATATGTTTAACATTTTATGTTATAGATTACAATTAGGAAATAACTGTCGTTTTTTCTTGTTATTCAGATGTTCCAAAACATGAAACATATTAGTGCTACTAATTATATTAAATCACAAATAATACTTTTACATATTAACGAACCTCTATACTTTATGTGTAACATATCCAATGGACATTTTTAAGCCAATCGTGTAATATAAATGTATACATACAATATACAAAAGTTATGATGTGTGACGTCATACATTTCAGAACAAAGCATATTTTGCGCTGAGTAAAAGGAAATCTTTTCGTTGCACTGAAGTGTTTCACGTCTTGACGTCATTCATTCATTACAGATTTTTACATAGAAGGCTTTACTTCCTGGACAAAGAGGCAGGACTTAAATTTGATTGGCGTAACTATTGTGCAATAGATGTCCAGTACTGGACAGCTTTCTGGCTTGTCAATTTTCATTTGCCAATGAACGTTGTATTTATGAAATCTTGGCAAATCGGGTGAGAGTAGGTGGGATATCCTTGAGAAAAGCGGTAGTGGTAGTAGTCTGTTGGTGTTTCGCTTAGGGAAGCGATCATTTTCATATCAGTTTGTGTTTATGTGTCTACACGTCCGTTTAGTTTAGTTAAATCATAATTAAGGTCATTTGTGTTATGGAACTAGATAAAATGGACGAGAACGACTGGAAATACCACGGAGAGGGTAATAAGAGTCTAGTTGTCTCTCATGTTCAGGTAAGTATCGATAGCATCAGCTAACATAACAGCTACTTTGTACAACTATTAAACATGCAATAATTTCAGGCTGGTTGCAACTGAAGTTTCTTTTAAAAAAGGAACCATCACAGTAACCCTGTAAAGATCTAATCAGTTAGTTGAAGGCGTTATATGATTATAATATGAAGTGGCATTTTATTATTTATAATTTTCACTGTTTAATGGATTAATTAATTCCAGTTGTTATTCAGTACAGGTGCATACGTTCACGCCCTCAAAAAGTGTTATTCACTACTGACGTTCAGACGTTCATTTATTTTTTTCAAGGAATGTCCAAAATTTTACGATCACACTAATTTTGGGTTTAATTCTAAGTGATTTGTAGGTCTCATCAGTATAGTTTAGCACACTTACGGAGTGTGTGGCAATTAACCTACAGAAATGGAATGAGGAGGAGTACTGATCTATACTGTATATATATATCGCTGAAAATATTTCCGTTTGAGAAACCCAGCAGAAACTGCCCTTTAGAAGATGGAGTATTGCATTTAGGCTGGTACATTTCTTCCGGACTGACACACTGATTTATGTGCGAGCACTATTTTAAAAAAGTTTGCTTTCTTAATGACATGGCGCTTTGGAAATTTTAAGATAGCTTGATCGTACAGCTATAAGGACAGATAAAGACAGATATCCTAGAGAAGTGCGATATAAAGCCTTTGTTAATCAACAGGGCGAACTTTTAAAAATATTTATGGAAGTGAGCATCGCAAGGATCTTTTAATTTAAAGACATATGAATGAGAGAAATGCGTCAAATATAGCCTATAGGCGACCCGTTTCTTTAATTTATTCCAGCGACGCTTAAACGGCTATTAAGGATCATTAAGGAGCAAATGTCAAATAACCCAGGGGAAAGTCTAACATAATAGTGCGTAAAGCGTTGAATGAAAATGTTTAACAGTGTAAATTGTACATTTAGAACCATGCAGTGATTCAGTATTGTATTGAACTTGGTTTCTAATGTGGTAAATACGTGATCGTTTCAGTACATGCTGTACATTGTGAACATTCAGAGGCAAAACTGCCTATATTTTATAGGAAACTATAGTCCCATCTTTATTGGTAACATGTGCATATCTGTTTTTATTTCCTTTTGCTGTTAGTGCAGTTTTAATTTCATTATGCCGCTCATGACGTTAATTGGGGAGTGTTTCCTATTTTCTGGATTGGGTGCTAAAACTGAGACAGTTTCGATAAACTGTTCTTCTATTACATTATTATTATTATTATTATTATTATTAATAATAATAATAATAAAACGCAGTGTGAAAATATTGTCATTAAATACGGTTTATAACGGGAGAACTCAAATGCCATCAAATTGAAAAGTAAAGGCTGTAAATGATGAATATCGTTTCTGTTTCAATTTATTTTTATTGCAGCATTCGCAAGTCCTTCGCCTTTTGAAATACCCCACAGAAGATGCTGAACACGCACACCAGGTAAACTTTAATCAAAACTTTGTGGGGGGTGGCAGCTTCTTAAAGAATAATGAATGTTCTTGCCGTCATTGCCTTCTTAAATTAAGTAAACACTTGTGACACACATCAAGCCACGAAGTGAGTAAAACAGATAAACAGATAGTGTTACTTGTTAATCTTGCTTTCATTTTATTTTTGGCCTTCATTTGGCAAATACAAAAACCGGGAGCAGTGACTGGTTCTGAAATGTCTTCAGTCAGTGGGCTGTCACAGCAAGGATCCAGTCCCATGTGAGGGCTTTTGTTACAGCCTGGGCACCCACTCTGTATACAAATGAATATTAGTGTCTAAATGTTATTTGCAGTATAAAGACGCACGCTAGTGTTAAATGGGTATAATATGTAGAAATAAAAACAAGGACAAAATCTGGAATTTTTGAAAGGTTAGTGCTGTGTCACTAAGAACTTTTTGAAGTTCTGTTGAGACTGGTAGTTTGTTGGATCATATGGCCAGATCTTCAAGGGAGGCAGCTGTTGTTTGATGTTAGGGCACTGGGGATGCGGTCCGGCCCAGGCGTGATAAGGGCCACGAGGCATTTGCCTGGATGCAGAGGCTGTTTTCGAACTCTACTAAAATTAGTTATCATCCATCACTGATGTCCCTGTACTGTCCCTGATGATAAATGGCTGTGTTCTTTCTGCGTCCAGACATCGGAGCAGGCCTTCAAACACATCCAGAACATTGTGGAATTCAGTAAGAACGTCATGAAGCCTCTTCTCGGAGAGACCTGCGTCCACCACGGGGTAAGGATTCCTTGCGGCGTTGCTAAAACAGAGCAGCATGTCACCCGAAAGCTGAGCTCGTGACATCGGATTACTTCACTGCAGCTTAACTGGAAAAAAGTGTTGTTTGCTATGTTGCGTTGCCATAGAACATTCCGGTAGGTCATTAGCACAGTTTGAAGAGGAGCTCTATTTTTAGGGCTCCTAAATTGTACTTTTGCAAGCTTGTCACACTGAGACCCAAAACCTACTGGAAAATTTTGCATCACTGAAAACTGGGTTTCATTTACTTATTTAGTGCCTTTTGTCCAAAGTGACGTACAAGTGAGTAAATCCTGGCGTCAGAGAGCAAGATCAGCAATTTTCCACCGTCTATGATGCAGTTAGGGTTTACGAGCCTTGCACAAAAGCTCAACAGCAATATGATTACTGCGTCTCCCACAGAATTCAAAGCCACTACCTTCTAGATGTGGATAAAAATGACAAACCGGCTGAGCCGCATTCTGCCACAAGAATCACTTAAAATTTTTACAGCGCTTCTGCGTGGCTCATAACTTGTTTTTATAGTGAGATTTCTGCTGTGGGATTCTTTGCTTTGTGTGGCAGGTGTAGGGTGGCCTTAGACTGGGGAGAAGCTGCTGAAATGACTGTTAAACACTTTAAGCCAGTTCCCTTCACTAACATTTTCATACTGTGTATTACCTGTACATTCAGCACAGAAGCCAACTGACCTGATGTTCTCAAAGGGCCCAATGGTGATAGTTACTCTGCCAACCACGAGCTTAGACATACACACAGTGGAACTGGCAACCTTTTTTCTTAAGCATGTATAATAGTGTATGCTTAATACAGCATGCAGAATATTCCATAGGATTTAATGGAATTATATTTCAAATTGGCTTGAGTAGCTGTGGGGTTAGGGTTAGCTGTAATCCTATACATACATACATACATACATACATGTATGTGTGTGTGTGTGTGTATATATATATAATTATATATAAGTATATAATTCCTTTACTAATCTGATTGCAACATAAGAGCATTCAAAGAACATCTGTTGGCCCTTGCATAGTCTTCTTAGTAGCTGTTGTGCAGCTCCTGCTTTGTACCTGGGCGTTCATTGTAAGCTCAGCCTAGCTGCATTTATGCCTGTCCGACTCTTTCACAGCCTGAATGTTTGCAATGTGCTATTTGCCTTGCTGTACCAGGATGGCAAAACAATGGCCCTCAGTCTGCCTTTGGGTTTCCCTTGCTGGGGAAGGATGTGTGGTTTTGTAGTCCTCTGGTTTCCTGGTGGAAGATTCTATGTTGGTTTCCTGCTTGGTGAGGGACACCCATTTTCCCCATGTTTGTTTGTTTTATTTATGCAGTGTACTCACTTCAGACACTGTTGCATTCATATCCGGACATTGCCGTCATGTGAATCGAGTCTTACTGACATTGCCGTCAATGTGTATCGAGTCTTACTGACATGGACGTCAATGTGGTTCCCCCCTCGCAAGTTTATTGCGTGATTTTTGCCCAGGCTGCTCTCTGGTGTCACGTTCCTCTCTGCACAAAGCTTTTACTCCAGCCTGTCCACTGAATCCTTTGTGCTTGTAGCAGAGTAAAATGATCTGTGTTTTCTGAGAAAGATGTTCAGTAACTGGGAACAGTCAGACTACCACTGAAACCAATCCCCCCGGGAACTGTGCAGCAAGCTCAGCGACACAGGAGATGGTCTGAGGATATAAAATAAATGTCACTTTCCAAAAAAAAAAAGAAGAACCAATCCTGCTATCAGTTTTTGGAGAGCTGGGAGTGAAGAAAATGCTGGATTTATTTTTTAATTAGTACTCTGCATTTAAATATGAGGTATGGAATTACAGGAACAGCTGAAGGTTATCATTTGTTGGTGAATATAGTACTATGAAGTTGCATCTGTTTAAGGAAGGTGAAAATGCTAAAGCACTAATAATGAAGTATCATTTTTAGTTTGTCAAGCCGTTTCCTGTTTAGAGGTTTTCTTATTGCAATCAAACGCAGATCAAGCAAATCAGTGGAATAGCATAACAAGGATTATGTTTGTTGCTGTCTTTCATGTCTTTGCAGGAAGCCGTTAAACTCCCCTTGGATTTTCTGAGGCAGCTGTCCTTAAAGGTCCAACAGGAGCGGCCAGGTAAATGTTTAAGACCAGCACTGCGTGGCCTGCTTTCCCCACATTACCGACCCCTCCCACCTAGTGATTGGCCCCTTAACGGATCCTTTAATGACATCACCCGCATTCTGACTGCATCATGGAGTGAGGTGATGACATCACCCACATTCTCATGCATCATGGAGCAAGGTGATGACATCACCCACATTCTCACTGCATCATGGAGTGAGGAGCTGGAGCTGCACTCACTGGAGCAGAACTTGACGTGACTCGACCCTGTGGTCAAAATTGCTCATTAGGTGGAAGTTGAGTCAGGTGGAAATGTTGCTACACCCTTCATGTGACTTGGCTCTGGCATGCAAGCTGTCTCAACCCCATGACCGGATGGCCATGTGCAGCAGCTATGAGCATCTTCTTAATTGCTTAATTCTGGGGAGTAGATGGTCTCTAGTTTTCTCTTAATTCCAAAATAAGAAGAATGAAATGGATTGTAAGGTCAGTTCCTCCTGCAAGGGGAATTTGTCTCTTATGTAATGTTAGTCGACGGGGTAATGAGTGAAGGGAGTCCCTCTTTTCCAGCAGGTGTCAATCTCATTAAAATAACTGGTAATAAGTAAAATGGCTGCTTTTAGATTAATTTCACTAATTACGATTACTATAAATAAAATAGCTCTGATTAAATGTGTCTGTGCCCTGCATGTAAAAAAATCTCAGTTCCAGCATTTTCTTTTTGGTGAAGTGTAGAGGTCTAGGTTTCGAAGTGCAAGTCTGTCCCACAGGTGTCGGTGAGAACGCGCCCTTTATCGCAGCGTGTTGCCACTTTGGTTTCTGCAGAGTCGCGCTGTGACAAGGTGATGGACACATTCAGCGGCTGCGCGCTGTGCCTGCCCAACCTGACGCAGCTCTCTGCCTGCCGCCTCAGCGACCGCGGGCCGCAGCTCTGCATCGAGATCAAGGTGAGTTTTGTGGGGGTGGTTGTGGTAACGACGGCTTGTCTGTGAAGGACACCAGTGCTGACTGTCACTCTTTCCTGTGGGTGGGAGATTTTCAAATCATTGCAACTCATTAGCTCACACAGGCTTAGAGGGTAACGCTGTAAAGTCTGTTTGTTTTTTTTCTTGCAGCCAAAATGTGGATTTCTGCCATCTTCACAGCTGATCATGAAGGAGGTCAAGCGTAGGGTGTGTCGGTTTTGCATGCACCAGCACTTTAAGGTGAGGGGGTCAGGCTGCGTCCTCTTAATGTGGGGTCTTTAAGATGGGGGGGGGAGGGGTCAGGCTGTGTCCTCTTAATGCGGGGTCTTTAAGGTGGGGGGTCAGGCTGTGTCCTCTTAATGCGGGGTCTCTCTTGCTAGTCTTGGTAAACCAGCAAATAATGATTTAATGGCACTTAAAGAAATAACATTTGTTTTTATCTTCTGTTACATTTTGTCCAATACTGGTAGGCCTGGAGCCTATCCCAGAATGCACAGCGCTCACGTGTGGGTTTACCCTGGACAGTGTGCCTGCCTATCGCAGAGCCCACGCACATAGCATTCATGTTAGAAACCACAGAGCCCCATGTATGCAAAGGCAGTGGGCCGGAATCCTGGGGGCCATTTGGCTAGTTTGATTCCCCCTGGTGGAAGAAATGCAATATGACTTTTCGAGGTATGCATTAAAGAGTACAAATATGGTTTTGTTTTGTGCAGATAGCTAATGGAAAGTGGAAGCGGATGAGCAGATACTGTCCTCTGGATCTGTTTTCAGGGTAAGTGACCACGAAACACGCACAACTAGTGTTTTACTGCTGGGCAGCTTCTAGCATATCAGATTATCATGATCTTAACTAGTAATACTGAAGAAATTTGTAGAGTGGGGGGAGGTGAAGATACTCATTAAGGAAACTATATCTGTAGTTACTTTTTCTAAAATATTCTTACAGTATGGTTTCATACAGTATAGATCACCTTCACGTATGCATCTTTATCTGTTCATCTAGGAACAAACAGAGAATGTACTTGGCAATTAAACACTTACTAGAAGAACCACAGAACAACTTAAAAATTTTCAAGGTAAGCTTTGACAGTCTGCAGTAATTTTAAAGAAATGTTTATTCACGCGCCCTTCGGCACTTTTGGGACGGATGGGGTTGGGTCCGTGGCTGGCCGGGCGTGACGCCGCCGTGTCCCCCACAGAATGGTGAGCTGATCTACGGCTGCGAGGAGGTTGCGTCCTGCCAGCAGGACCTGGATGCGCTCGCGTGCCACCTTGGCCCGTACTTCCCCCCGCAGGACACCGATGCGCCCGTCAACGAGCTCATCCAGGCCATCGTGGGCGCGCTGCTCGACAGCCCAGGATGCGACCACGCCGGGGATCACTGGAGAGCGCCCCCTGTGGATGGCTGTACTTACTGCGAGGGCAGCCCACTGCCTTGTGAACTGCTCCAGAACGGTGAGACGCCCCTTGTCAGCACATCTCTGCTCCTGCTGTTTTCATGATATTTCACTCTTCCTTTTTGTGAAAATGCAGCTTTCTGTCTCCCGTATTTAGTACAGGCTGCATTTTGCATAATGTAATTCATTAGGTGGTATGTCAGGGAAACGACTGTCTGCAGACTGCCTGTCTGCGAGGTCACTGGTCTATTGCACTGTTACTTCATGGATTTATTTCTAACTCTTCATTCAGTTTGATCAGGGTGGTCACTGTCCGGCTGTAGGGTTTTCGTCATGTTTCATTGGTTAATTACCTAATCTTTTTTCACATCTCTTTGTACAAACATATTTTGAGTGTTGCCATTTGAGCTTGTATTTCCTAGTTGCGTTTCAGGGTAAACATACAGTCATGTCAAAAAAAGTATACCCTCTTTCAGTTCTATGCTTTTAAGTATCAGCATGTAATAAAATATTTAGTCCTTACTAGGTTATATTATTTAAATCTAACCTGAGGTGTAAAATAAGATTCCACTGTGTCAGTATTTAACAGAAATGAAGCCAAAATGGAAAAGCTGTATGTGGAAAAACTAAGTAAACCCCATGATTCAGTAGCTTGTAGAACCACCTTTAGCACCAATAACTTGAATTAATCGTTTTCTGTATGACTTTCAGTCCCTCACATCATTGTTGATGAATTATGACCCACTCTTTACAGCGCTGCTTCAGTTCATTGAGGTTTGCAGACATTTGTTTATGCATAGCTGTAAGATCTTGCCACAGCATTTTGGGTTGAGGTCTGGACTTTGACTGGGCTGTTGCAACACCTTGATCCTTTTCTTTTTCAGTCGTTCTGTTGTAGATTTGCTGCTGTGCTTGGGATCATTGTCCTGTTGCATGACCCAATTTTGGGCAAGCTTTAGCTGTCAGACAGATGGCCTCATATTTGTCTTTATAATACTTATAATAATATAATAATAATACTCGTATACAGAGGAGTTCATGATTTACTCAATAACTGCAAGGTGCCCAGGCGCTGTGGTTGCAAAACAAGCTCAAATCATCACCCCTCTACCACCGTGCTTGACAGTTGGTATGAGGTGTTTGTGCTGATATGCTGCGTTTGGTTTTTGCTAAATGTGGCGCTGTGCATTAAAGCCAAACATCTTCACTTTGGTCTAGTCTGTCCAAAGGACATTGTTACAGAAGTCTTGTGGTTTGCTCAGATGCAACCTGGCAAATCTAAGCCATGCTACCATGTTGTTTTTAGAGAGAAGAGGCAACCCTTCCAAACAAGCCATACTTGTCTTTTTCTAATTGTACTGTCATGAGCAGTAATGTTTAACATGCTAACTGAAGCCTGTAGAGTGTGAGAGAGGTCATGGATTTTTCACAATTTCTCTGGCATTGAATGGTCTGACCTTGGGCTAAATTTGCTGGGACGTCCACTCCTGGGAAGCTTGGCGACTGTCTTGAATGTTTTCCACTTGCGAATAATCTTTCTCACTGTAGAATGATGGACTTTAAAATGTTGGTAAATGGCCATATAACCCTTCCCAGATTGATGGGCAGCAACAATAACTTCTCTGTGATCACTGCTGATGTCATTCCTCCTTGGCATTGTGGTAACACAAACCTGAATGCTCCAGACCAGCAAGCTGCCAAAACTTCTGCTTTTATAGATGTGGTCATACTTGCTGATGATCAAATAATCAAGTGCATTTGATTAGCAGCACCTCGCTGCTACCCTCTGAATTTCTGTGGAAGCAGTAAATTTTTAGTCTTAATTTTTCACACTGCTTCTGCATTTTGGCTTAGTTTTTGTTAAATAATGTTCATCTGAGGTTGTATTTACCTAACTGTAAGACCTGCTAAGAACCAGATGATTTTCTTGTATCCTGATACGTAAAACCATATTAGTAAAAGTGGGTGAACTTACTTTTACACGTAACTGTATCATCACATTCTAAACTGTCAGAATTCCCAAATTAAACACATATCAAGCAAGCCAGTAATTTTTTAATCAAGTCGGTTTAAACCAGAGGAACTAATCTAAATGAATGCTGTCAAGGGCAGGGGGCGGCTTCGAGGCCAGGGAGGTGAGATTTTACTGTGTAGTTCAGGAACGCAGATGACCTTATGGAAGTGGAACTGGTTTTAGTGACAAGTCGCATTCTTCCGTTCAAACCCCACCAATCTCCATCAGTCACTGTGGGCGTGAAATGTCAAGCTGAACTGTCCTTTGTATTGCAGGGAACCACAGCCTGCCCAAGGATTGCATCTTGCACAAAATACTTCAAGCTCAAATGCTGGACAACCTTGACATCGAAGGGGTTTACCCCTTGTACAAGCGAGTTGAGCGGTACCTTGAGGAATTCCCTAAAGAGAGGTACTGGGGTTCATTATGGATCAGTGTTTAGATGTGTGTCTAATTTTTGAAGTTGAAAAAAGTTTGTCCACTAGGTGGCGTTTATGCACAAAGTAACGTGACTGAATTAAAGTATTTTGTCATTCTTTAGCTGCAAGCTGATGGATAGGGATGTTTTTCTCTGTTAGGGGAAAGCTACAGATAGATGGGCCCTACAATGAAAAATTCTTGGAAAAACTGAAAAACTGTCCAGCTGAAGATGACGGTTCCATTGAATATCCTGTTGGAAAGGTACCGCCTCATATTTGGGTAGAGCTTCCTTTAACGTGACATTGTGAGAAACTATGATCTGATTGCATATCTGTTGTGATACTTCTGTGGTTGTCGTACTTGAATCCATCAGTCCCAGTCAAGGTGCATGTGGCGCCCAAGGCAACGGACTTGCTAATTCAGTGCCCCTCAGATGGCACTCTAGGTAGCCACTGGTTGGCCATTTTGGATAAAAACATCAGATGGCAAACACTTCATTTTCTTCCAGGTTCACCAGTACAGAGTATCGATGACAGCCAAAGACTGCTCCATCCTGATCGCCCTCTCACCATGCGGAGAGGATGAACTGTAAGTATGGGCGCAGTCACACGCCTTCCCAGTTACCAAGGGTCTCTGTTTCCATTTCAAAAGGCGAAAGTCTGTCTTAACAACTGAGAAAGGACTGATTTTGTGTTAGAAATGCTGCAATATAACAGCTAATATTTTTTCCTTTTACTATTTTACCTTTTATTTTCTAAACATTTCTTTACTATAGGGAGCTCTCAGGGAAAATCCTTCAATTACCTGCATCTTCTGCTGTATGCTGTACTGTTTAGCATTTGACGGACTTTGACTTGTACTGAACGTTTGTGTTTGTTTTTTTTTCCTCTTAGACTGGAGCCCAACCTGGATTTACAGGCTCCAAAGCCCAGGTTCACATACTCCGTGTCCATCTTAGATTTAGACCCCAAACCGTACGAGAGCATCTCTCACCAGTACAAACTGGACTCAAAAATCGTGAACTACTATCTGTGGAACACGCAGGCCAATCAGAACAAGCCGCACGCACCAGCAACGCATGTCTACCTGGAGAGAGATGCTCAGGACTGCACCCTAGTGTTCCAGGCTGTCTAAACATCCGCGCTCCCGTCACCTGCACGGAGCATACTTTAGTTATGCAAAGTGGACCTAGATACCTCCTCCCTCCCCCCCAACCCCCCTCCTGCAAAGCTGAATGCCGTTCTTGCTGAGTGAATGTAAGTTGGACTGTGGTATAAAGTTGTCGTTCCTCGATCTGCTGCCTATTTCCCGAGATTGGTCTCGAGCAGTATGACATGCCTTCACTATGTCATAGAGGCAGAGCTGGATGGATCCTGTACCTTAGGCGGTTTGGACGCCCATTCGATCATACAGAATTCTGCCGTAGGTGCAGAATCTAACGTGCGCTTTGACTTTTCAATTGGCTCCGATCTTGGTCTGTTTAAGCAACATAAGAAAAAAAAAAAAAAAAAAAAGCACTAAGGTCCTTTTTGGCCAGAGTCTTTCTCATGATGGTGGGTAAATCTGGGATGGCTCTTCTGATGCGTTCCCAGTAATCCAGAATCTTTCAGAACTGATCGAGCAAAACTTCAATATAAAAACATAAAAAAAAAAAAAAAAAAAAAAGCACTAATGTTGGTGACACATGTAAGTGTGCACAGAAGTACACTGAGCAAGATTATCCAGTTGGTTATACTTTTTTCTGCAGTGATGTCAAGCTCTGACTAAATGAGGTCTTACGGTTCTGTTCCTGAGCATTTATTCAGAGTTACTAGTGTAATTCAGGTTAAGTAATCACTAAAGGTTAGAGAAGCTTCTGGGAACAAACTAGTAACCACCGCTTTAAGTCTGACTATTCTTTGACGCGGTGAATGTTTAGGCCTGCATTTTATATTTTGACTTATGTGTACAGGAAGCAGAACTGGTGGTGATGTGGGATAATTCTTAGGAAAAACTGTGGCAGGTGGTGAGTAGTGCAGGCAAACTGAGGCACAGGGGCTGCTTAGAGACTTGCTGAAGTGACCCCCTTACAGTGAACAGGCTGTCTCACCGCCGCTTTACTCAACCCTAAAACCCCATAGAAGCCAGCTTGCTTTATCACACATTAAGTTCCTAAAACCTGTATGGTGATTTTGTGTCAGGGCAGAAAGCATGGAGCCCTTGTACCCACCCACATTTAAAATGAAATCCTTCCATGAGCAGAATGGACATCTCTTCAGAGGAGACGGCCTGGGAGAAATGCCAGAAAAAACCACTTCATTTTCCTTGTTAAACTGCTCTGGATTACAGCGTCTGTTTTATTGACTCTGTTGAGCAGTGCATGGCTCCCTTTATACCGCGTGAGCTGGGATTTGATGAATGTGGTTGAGGTCTGAGGCATATCCACCCCCCCTCCCCTCCACATTCAGAGTCTCTTTTGGCAAGACTTGGTAACTGGTTCTGGAGACAGGAAGGCCACAGAGTCATCTTTTCCAGTGTTTAACACTGGCTTGAGCCTGTATTGGTTTAAATGACCCGTTACTGAAAATGCAGAATAAGCATAAATGAAAGCCCCCCCCACCCCACCCCAGAACCCAACAGCTTCAGTAATGTGAATTACCTCAAGACATAAATGGGAAAATCGCAAACTTACAGCTTTATTCGGCTTCTTTCCCGTTCGGATTTGGTTGAGCTGAACAGCCTTCAGCTGTCAAGTGCTGCTACACGACTGCGATGCTCACGTGTAACGTCTCGGGGATGATTATTCATAGCACAAGTGTTCCTGCATACGAGATGGCAAATCCACCACCAGAGGATCTGGGCTTTGTTCCTCAGTCCCAGTAAAATCATGCCTGAAACTCCAGGCTGAGCTGGAATGCAGACCCTATCCACCAAGTCGTCCTGGATTGTTTTCACACTCTCGCTATCGTTTAGCTTGAACTGTATGTGGTAGATTTAACAGCTACTACTCTGCATCATGCCTACTTTTCAAATTAACTGACCATTATTAACTAATCTGAAAATCCTGCCAAAGATGGAATATGATCCATTTGTCTTAACAAATCTCCATGTTTCGCAGAAAACTCCAGTTTTTATGTATTTTAAAATTTCTATGTGCACATGCGCGCGCACACACACACACACACACACACTCTCTCTCTCTCTAATAGACCCAGTAATAGTTAATTGACCCAGGGTGTATAATGCAGTAAAACAGCATTTTTGGAACATTTTGAAGGGTATATTGCAATTGTATCAAAGACTTACACTGTTTTCTTTTGAAAATTGGAAGATCCATGATTAAACAGGACCGGAAACACTAATAATAAATAAAAACTAGCACTGTGATATTGAAGTAACCTGTACTGCTAAGCTGGGTAGGTGCAGCAGAATATGACAGACTTTTTGTATTTAAATGTTATTTATTTTTTTAGGACTTGGCTAATTATAAATATTGACAGTACAAGTATATGTACATACAGGTGGAAGAGAATGTGGGTTGGAGGCTTTGGTTTCAACAGGAATTGTACAGAGATTTATACTGCTAATAAAATGCTATGAAAGCAGAATGGCTTCTGTCTTCCTTACCCAACCACTGACATGCTACCAGCAGGAGGCGCTAGTCCACACACACTGCTCTTATCAGACTGTCGATTGCGGCCTCCACTCCCAGCACACGGAGCAGACTCTGAAAGGAGCACGGGGCTTTTTCCATCACCTTCTTCTGGTCCATGCGGAGGGCTGCCACACACACACAGCAGTTTAAATTTCACCCTGTGATCCTGTGGCTTGTGCTAACCTTATGAAAACCTTTTTTGATAATTATGAATCAATTCCTTCGAGATTAGCATTTCACAAGTCGTGTAGACAGATCGCGTTGTATGGCTCAGTGAGTTAAGCCTATATGCCTATATGCCTATGATCAGAAGGTTGCTAGTTTGAGCCACATCTGTGGCAGAATAGTCATATGTCTTTGAGTAAGACCCTTAACTCCCAGGTCCAGGGGTGCCACACGCCGGCTGACTCAACTGTGACCCCACTCGCCTGTATGTGTGTCCCATGGAGAAAAAGATGGGGTAGGTGAAAAGACAGTTTTCTCATAGGGATTAATAAAGTATCGCTTCCAATATAACTCAGTCCTGATATCTGCAGAAATCTTCAGATGACTCTGCAGTTGTGGGGTGTGTTGGTGCAGTCATTGTGTGGGAACATGTGGCTCAGTGTGCCTGTGATCAGAAGGTGGTAGGTTCAAGCCTGGTCTCAGCATGTCTTTGGGTCCATGAGCAAGGCCCTTAACCCCCCAACTCCCTGGGTGCTACGGTGGGTGGCACATAGTGAGCAAGGTGGGGAAATAAAGAGGATTTCCCCACAGGGATCAAATAATAAAAAAAGTAATGATTATTAATGAACGACCTTCTCTTAAGTGTGACCAAGACCAAGTAGATGGTTGTGGGTTTTAGTAGGAACAAGACTAAGCTTCCATCCTGGGAGAAATGGTGAAGAGACCTAGTCTGGAAATGTAATACTGAGGCTGTCTACAGGAAGGGACAAAGCAGACTCCACTTCCTGAGGAAGCTTAGGTCCTTCAGTGTGTGCAGCAAGATGTTGCATATCTTCTACCAGTTTTGTCGCGGCAAATGCTATTTTCTATGCAGCCATCTGTTGGGGCAGCGGCATCAGAGCAGGTGACTCTAAGAAGTAGAACAAACTGACTAAGAAGGCCGGCTCTGTGCTGGGGACCGCTCTGGGAGACTGACTAAGAAGGCCGGCTCTGTGCTGGGGACCGCTCTGGGAGACTGACTAAGAAGGCCGGCTCTGTGCTGGGGACCGCTCTGGGAGACTGACTAAGAAGGCTGGTGAAACCGGAGATGGTTTGGGAAGAGTTTGACTAGAAAGTTAAGGAAAAGTGCCCAATGAGTGCTCAGCATATATGTGGGACCTACTGCAGGACAGCTGGAAAAGCTTCCCAGGGTCCACGTCATGGAACTCGAGTAGAGGAGAAAGCAGGATCAGCCAGTCCCTGGAGCTATTGGGGATAAGGGCCTTGGTTTAGGTTCCAATGGTGGGATCATTCTGCCGTCCCAGGGACTTGAACTAGCAACCTTCTGAGTGCCAACACACAGAGCTGCCCCCCCCCCTCAATAAATAATATTTTTTTGTTAAATATTTTTTTGGTCAGTGCATAATTCCATATTGTTATTTTATAGTTGTTATGTCTTTATAATTATTGTGACATGAAGGGAATAGAACAAATAAAGTTTTCTATGGATAGGTGTGTCCAAACTTTATATATTTGGTTCTTCTGTGTTATGTCTTCCTTATTTGTGTGTATTTTCGACATTTATGTGAATTGATACTGCAACTCCCGTGGGGGATGAATAAAGTACAGTGAATGTACTTCTATTCTGAATGTCCGGTAAGCATATGAAAAGGCAGGGAGCTCAGCCTGGGGGGCTCTCACCTCTCTCTGGCAGTCTGGGCAGCACCTCCAGCTTGGGAGTGACCCCTCCCTCCTTTGTGACCTTGATGCTCCACACGACGCACAAAGTGCACCTGAGAAAAGCCAACCATCCTCAGCTCAAATACATAGGAAGGCAAACCCACCAGGTCCTTCCAGCGAGACGCCTGGAACCATCTCGCTCTATGATCATGTGTAACAAAGCCAGCAGCTAGAATGTTTATACTAACAGAAGCATGTTTCACTTTATACAAGGAATAAATGGCAGATTTAATGGAATGACATAGAAGAATCACCCAGGTAGTTTCGGGCACTGGATCGTCATGATGTCCGCTCTGCAGCCCTCAGGAAGGCTCACCACGTCTGGGTACTTATCCTGCCATTGGGGAGGACAAACACAATGTACAGGCATAGCACTGCAGCACTGGTACAAATGAAAAGCAGGATGGCTGCACACTTATATGACATGAGCTGTTCCTGATCAAAGCAGCAATATTTTTCCATCTGCAGCAGCTGCAGACTTTCCATGCTTTTGTCGGATATCAGCCCCATCTGCCATTTCGTTGACTGCAGGAGAATTTATTAGAGGTAAAAATGGAACAAATAAAAAAATTCCAATGGCTGTACCTCAGCGGGTCAGTCCTCAGTGCCTGTGACAGAAGGTCGGCGGTTTGAATCCCGCGCTCGGCAGAGTGGCCACATCTACACTGGGCCTTCAGCAAGGCCTCTATCCCCCAAAAACATGCTCCAGGGGTCCCTGATAAATAGCTGACCCTGTGCTCAGACAACAAGCTACCTGTATGTGTCCTAGAAGAAAGCAAGATTGAAATGTACTTGTACAAATGGCAAATAAAGCATCATTCCAGGGGCCCTCCCGGGCTACCAGGTTTCCAGGGGCCCTCCCGGGCTACCAGGTGAGCCATGCAACCTAGGAGACAAACCCCGCTGAGCCACTTACTATCCGGCCTCCGTTTTGTCCTTGGAGCAGAGTCTGCACTTTCCAGAAGAGCCACACAACTGGGTTTTCAGCACCGTTCCACACGCTGTGGTGAGGTAGGGGAGACGTTTCAATTCGGGGCCAGAACGGAAACAGGAGATGCGCTGCAGTAGCTGCATGTCCTCCCACTGGATGATGCAACTCGAGGCAGAACAGGCCACTTACGCTCGACTAAGCACCGCAGGAAAATATCGCAGAGCGTGAAGGCTCATACACCAGGGTAATGATGTTTTAATGTTGAAATTGTATTGAAAATTCACACAACCAATACAAAGGTAGAAGACCAATTAAAAAGAAGAACCCTTTTTAAGGCTTTGAAACAGTTTTGATGTAACTGGCTCTCCCACACTGTACACAAGCTTGAAGACCAGCCTAACTCTACATTCTCATAGGACTTTAATCACACACCAAGCAGTGCATATAAAAAAGCCACCCCCCCCAAGATTGCTTGTCCTTAACTATACCAGTCTTCTTAATTTTCTTAATTGTCACCTTAAAAAACATCAGCGTGCTGGATCACACCACATCAACACTGGGAGAGTGAGGCAGTGACCTGCCTTTACGTCTCATAAGAGATTAATAGAAACATAGCAAACGCCGGGACGCAGAAATTATTAATGACCTCATAAATTAGCTAAAAGACAGCTGAAGTCACAGGGAGACTGCAGAAGCACTTTAAAAACTAGATTAGTCATAGACTGCAGGAAAAAATAACTGAATAAAATGCGTTAAAGAAAAAAAAAAGAAGAAAAAAAAAAAAAACACGCTTCTCCTGGCTGGACTTGTGCAGCTTGCCGAGCTGCAGCCACGTTTCGGTGACTCTGAACCGGGCAGCACATCCTGCAGAAAGCAACATTCATCAGATAGGCAGCAGAGTGCCAAGCAAAACATGGCCGCCAGCTCGCCTCCGTGTCACTGTGCAGATGTTATCGATGCAGTAGCCACTCTTGCTGAAGCAGCCCGCAGGCTACCCCGCCCTCAGCTTCAAATGGACGCCATTCCATCACCTTTTTTTTAAATGAGATTAAGCATTCATATGACTAAAAGAATTAGTTTAATCAAAATGTAGGGCATGCTAGACTGGCAGGTAAAAATAGGGCATCACAGCTAGAAAGGTCTCCCATGTCTCTGTCTTCTCTGTTCATGCCCGAAAACAGCTTCTCTACAAAAAAAATGCCATCTCAGTCCTGCCAGCTGTGTTTCTCCCTTCTGCACTGTAGATGTCAGGCTCACAAGAGCCTTCGCACGAGCGGCTGTTTTTATGCAGAGGCGGGCAGAGTCGTGTGTTTTCTCTGGCCTCATAAATTTAAATGGAAAGAGTGTTAGTGACCAAATTATTCGTTTAGGAAGAATGTTGATTGTTTTAGTTTTTAAGAGTACGAGGTGCACAATAAACAGGCAGAGTTTATAAACGATGGGCCACCACTTAGTTCAAGAACAAAACAGTCCAGTTTTTACAGGAATCTGCTTCTGTGGCTTGACCTCACCCCCCCCCCTCCAATTTATGAATTAATATCTACAATTTGTCATAAAAACGGGAGAACATGGGATTCCTTCAGTCCATTCTCACAGTAAAACAGTGCAACGGTGACACAGAAAAGTAATTTTAATGACATTAGATAGAAAACACCAAGCAAGTCAAAGAAGCTTTCTGGGTAAAGCGAATAATGAGGAGAAGTCCCTGAACGCTGCATAATACGCTCCGGGTGAATTTAGAGGGTTTATATATAACTGAGCCAGACTAAACAATGGTGAAATATGGAAAATGACTTGTAATTGGAGGATATCACAAGATGAAGGGCTACTTGGTTTTGGATCGATACACTGTAACCTTATCTGGTAAACAGTGATTCTCTGAAGTATAATTCAACCTCTCCTTGGCCTTTGAGGAAGAGCAACATGAAGGACACTGTTACACAGTAATACTTCATGAGCATTCAAAAGTCTTTATATAAAAAATGCTGCAGATTTAAAAGGTTAATTCGGGTCTTCCAGAGCACGTGTAAAATAAAACGCTGTCGTCCTTCCAGCGAGGGAGTGGAGTTTCATGACAGTTCAGTCAACAGTGTGAGGAAACCATTTTCCAGAGTAACCAAAGAATTCATAGAGGCATGGGCTGACGTTCAAAGGGAAGGGGGCGATCACCCATGATGCATCAGGCCAGGCACTGCCACCGTTCACATTGAACTCACACGAGTGCCTGGCAAAATACACAAGCTGACCACTTAACTAAGTCAATTAGCTAATGAAAAGCTGACGTACAGGTATAACTGGAAGGGACCTAATAACCCTGATTTTACTAATTATTTATAGGAATAACAGTGTTTGAATTCTATATTTTAATGAAGCATTTCTTTGTCTTAATATTACAAACATTATTTGATAATCATATTGATTTACAATCATTAAACTATAATTATGCCGGTATGGAAACCCACATGTAAGGCCAGAAACAACAATAGGATAATCACTCAAAAATTCACATAAATAATGGTACAAAATAAAAAATATTCAAATGTTTTCAAAAACATTTAGTGATACTCATACAATTCAAGGCAGTGACTTGGTTCACAAATTGTATGTTTGGGCTGAAAAGGGTAACTGCACTTCTGTTGTGACTGCACTGTGAAACCAAATCTTTAAGCATTAATCCAAACTCTTGAAGATACTACATGAGCTCTCACAGATACAGGATGAGCGTTACATTTAAAGCCTTTTCCCATCTGCATAGTGCCAACGAGACTGACATCATCTTAGCGAAGCACAACAGCGCGGAGTACTGCTGGCTCCAGAACACGATGATACCGAGGATGACAGAAACAGCACCAGCGGCAGACCCTGCATCCACGGAGTCACTGGGACCCGGACTGACCCATTACTGGATCAAAGCTTTAGCGGGAGCATGATGTGCGACAAACCGCTGTGAGTCCCAGAATTCACCATGTGCCAGAACTGCAGTGCAGAGTGCAGTAGTCATGATGGTAATAACAGTGATAATGATGACAGTAGTAGTAGTAGTAGTAGTAGTAGTAGTAGTAGTAGTAATAATAATAATAATAATAATAATAATAATAAATAATAATAATAATAATAATAATAATAAATAATAATAATAATAATAATAATAATATCATCTCTGTAACCCTGGAGGAGTCCTTAGCAGATGGATGGATGCGTAGTGGTAGTAGTTATAATGGGGGCGGCACAGTGGTTAGCACTGTTGCTTCACACCTCTGGGACCTGGGTTCGAGTCTCTGCCGTGGCTCCATGTGACTGGAGATTACATGTTCTGCTCATGTTGTTGTGGGGTTAATAATAATAAAATAATAAAAATACAAGGCTCCAAAGGGTCAGATGTAGGCCTTCCTGTAGTTCCTCTTACACGGAAGTGTTAGTGGCAGAGCGTTCAGCCGCAGGGTTCCTCGTCTCTGGAACATTCTGCCAGCATGTGTGAGGGCGCCACCCTCTGTCTCAGCATTCAAACCCCGACTGAAGTCCTGTCGCTTTAGCTTAGCCGACAATAAACAAAGCTGCTGCCTCCACTCAGCCGGATGCCCTGGACCGGGGGTGGACACCAGCTGAGTTCATGCTATGGGCACAGCAGAGGACTGAAGACGTACCTGCCAACGGCGGGATAGAGAGCTGACCTATAGGGGGCGTGGAGAGTCACAGAAGACGCGTCACGGAAACACACCACGCCCTGGCCTGTGTTCTGTTAGCACTGAAGGGGGGCAGCTGGGCAGCCAGCTGACCCTAGACCACCAGAGGCCTCGTTTCCTCTCCTCCATTGTCTTCCGGCTTGCATCCCCCATCCGTTCACACCATTGTCACCCTAAACTGTGGTGTGTCAGTAAAAGCTACTCCTGCTTGATTCTATGTTGAGTGTTTTGAGGGCGGCGTATTGGGAAAGACGTTATATAAAAATAAACGGAATTGTCACGTTACCAGAAAGAGTTCAACCTCAAACTCGGGAGAAACGTAAACAGACATTTGGGATGAGGCTAAAATTCATACCCTATATGCTGCATATTCTCACATCAAGAATTATGATTGAGGTTGATGATAAACAAAGACTGCATATTAAAAACAGCCTGGGAAGCTGTAATCCAATATGAAAGACACTTAACCACAGCTATTTCTGTATTGTTTTCTATCAGTTTTTAACTTAATGGCTGTGTGATTCCAAAATAAAGAATACATTTAGAAAGAACGCTGATTTAAGAAGCCTGTCCCTGAACATCCCTGCTGCGGGGGCAGCATGGGGCTTTGTGGGCTACGATGCTGTACACCGGTCCAAACCCCAGGCAGCAGAGTGATTTCAGCACTGGGCCTTTGGGCAATGTCCTTATTCCCCAATTGGCACTTTCTCAAAAAGGTACCTGCATTGCATAAAAGCTTTTGCTAAATAAATGTAGGTTAAATATATTGCGAAGGCAATACGGGATTCTGGGCTATAAGGTTTGGAGAAACTGAGGCTCCTTAGTGACTCCCCCATAACATCCTCTCGGTTCACACGCTGCTATCCCTGATGGAGTTTTCCACCCTGGTTTTTATGCTGTCCTACACCTCACCATTACTGCTCTCTATGCCTCCCCGTCTGCGGGCATTCCACACTGCCACACTAATGACGGGTTATTAAGCCGAGGGGCCGCACGGTCCAGCAAATGATGCTTATGAGCTCGATACACACAGTGACCCTACAATAGCTAGCTAATCCGAGATAAAACCTCTATTCTCCTCTAAATGCAGGCTTGGTCTCGCCACAGTAATTGCAGCAGCGAATGTCAGGTTAGGTTTCTGTAAACAACAAATAAGCATTATTTATTTCCCAACGCAGTGAGAAAATCTTTTTATTCAGTCATCAGGTCTGAGACACACATACCAAGGAACACGCAGGGCAAAGGTGTGAAAGCAGGGATGGGGTCACTCCAGAGGGCAGCGGCGGGCAACCAGGCCGCAGATGGGGGCCATAAATGCTGGAAAACAGGGGCCCCTCTGTCAAGGTAAAAACAGCAAGAAGCTTGTAACAGCAGCCAGGATTTTGTTACGACATGGGAAATCCTCTGGAACGTCTGACTTGAAGTAATGGGTGGATGATATGGTTGAGAAAGCAGCATATGGAAATATGTTAGGAAGGACGGAGGGGAAACAGGAAACGAGGGTGACTTGGGACCATTTCCCAAATCGTGCTCAAACGTCCCAAGACGTTTCTTCCTTTTCTTAATTGTTCTGCCATTTTCACGGCTCATGTCTATTAAAAGTTTCCACTTGCATGATATGTTCTTTTTTATTCTGATATAATATGAATGGCTACGAACCTATCTAAAGTAAAGACAATAAAACTAGTACCAGACCAGAATGGAATAAATCCAGTAAGTCAAGACGCTGCTCGTGCATCTGCCTCAGAGCATTATGTTATCAGTGTTTTCTGTGATGAGTAAGGGATTGCAAAAATAATTTCTACTTTTTTGCTTTTAGCTTTCACAGCAAGGTGGTTGTTGCCAGGGCCTCGAATTGCCATGGTGACTAGGGAAATGCCCCCAAATTTCGACATCACGTGGAGAAGTGTGACCTCGCCGCCGAATCCTGCTGCCAGTTCTAGCCCACGATGGAGAATTTCCACAAAACAGGGACACTGTCACAGAGCATAACATTCTTTCCAAAACCCACATTCAGGAATTTTTTGCTAAAGGACAAAAAATAGTGAGGCATGTCTCTGTCCCCTTATTGGGGGGGGGGGGGGGGCATGGTTTGCTCTGACAAGCAGCAGCTGCACATAGCAGGCGAGTGAGTCAGCGGGGTGCCGCCCCTCACCTGACAGCATGGGGCCAGAGCAGCCTGTCTGTCACACAGCCTGCATACCACTGGCCAGCTCACAGTAAGGCATGGGATTCTGACAGTACTCTCATCTAACCACCGGACCACCACTGCTAAATGCTAAACCCTGATTTTCACCTGTCCTTCCCCATTCGTTAAACAGTAAATAAAACCTTAGGATCTTGTACAAATTATGTAAATTACTGACAGTTAAGATAAAGAACCAAGGGGAGCTACTTAAGCTACCATACATACTATTACATGCATGACTGCCACCTGCTGGTCACAAGTATGCAACAGCTAATACTTGCTTTCTCTCTCTCTCTCACACAGACACACACACACACGCACACGCACACGCACACATACACACACGCACAGCTGTGCTTCACTTTCTCAGCATAACAACTCTCAGTCTGGTGTCTCGAATGGCTCCTGCTAAGTCACATGAACCAGACAAATCAGATATTAGCCAAACGTTTAACGAGGGCACTTATTGCAGCTAATCACCCGCCGGCATGTGGTTTGCATTCACCTTTCCCAAAAACATTCCCCACGTTGGTTATGAGGGTGCTCCCATTCCCAGCAGACCCACATACGTACGACACAGGGAATGCTCTAACGACTGATTGACCTAGAATTTCACCAAATGCATGTTCAGAAACTAAAAGCAAATCAGATTATCCAGACGGTCATTAAAATAAAAAAACATTTATGAAAAGGGGCTAGACTTCTGGCGAGGAGCACTATGCCTGACCGTGATTCTCAGCCCTGGTGTATCTTACACTTAATCCCCATCAGAATTCCCAGATGTTCCACCTCCCTGTCATCCAACCTGGCATCAGGACCATCGCTTCAGCATAACACCTAAAAAAGCGCATAACAGGTTGCGAGGTCAAGACTGACGTTTCGAGTTACAGCCCTTTCCTTCTGCCTTTGGAGGACTTCTCTCCAATGTTACTTCTTGTGTCTCTTCAGGCTGGTCAGCAGTGATAATTACTACTTTTAACAGTTACTTAGCAATGGTGAATTACAAGCTGCAACCAGAGCGTGCATGACATTCCTGTAACACCCCAGATCCAAGGCCTTGCCTATAGTCTCCCGAGAAGATCACATAAGCAATGAAATAGGTGTGACTGGTTAGATCTGAGATTACTCATACTATGGGCTCTCTCCAAATTCAAGATCTGACACAACAGGGAGCATGAATGGAATGCACTAGCCTCTTGTCAAACTACAGCACTGTTTTGTCCAGAGTTACACCAACCAACCTCCACCACTGTTATAGGAGGAAAGACTCTGCGGCTGAGGAGTGTCATTGTACTCTCCGGATACACATAAAACCTGAAGCAAGCCAAGAAGCCGCCTCAGTGCCTGTTGAGTGACACGTTAATGAGGATGCTGAAGCCGGCAAGTTCAAACAAGACGGTGATGCGCCCATGTTTGGCTAAATATCTTCCGGACGTTGTGCTTCTAGGTAAAGAATCTTTCCAAGTTCGGCTATTATAGGCTTAAACTTAAGTCCACACAACTGTGAAATGACTTCCATAGCTATCGTCATCCCTGGAGAGACATTGGTCTTCCATATTTAAGCTTCATTGGCCTGGTTCCACTAGAGGACTGGAGAGATGTTTGGTAGGGATAGTAAAATAAATAAAGCACTTTTTGTCATCAGAAGCTGGATGGAGCAGAGCGGCCCCCAGTGCCACCAGCCCAGTGCCTGCAGTCCGGCTGCCCACGCCCCATCCTCCAGCAGTCCTCGGGACAGGTCAGGCATGCCGTGTTTACGTTCCTGTCGCCCACCACCCTACCCTCTCCTCCCCCAGAGCGGCAGGTCCTCACGCCCGGTGGTGTTGCCGTCTGTGCTGCCCTGTAATTACGGCAGCGGAAAAACCCCCAGGCCCCCAGCGCCACGCCGTAGCTGACCCGCTCACGTCGGGCGGCTTTCAAACGGCGACTTCAAACACTCCCCAGACAAGCCCCGGCTCCCCCCGACTGCAGCCTCAGCCTGATCGTCTGCTCCAAGCATTTATCAGATCAGCCAGGCAGTAGGACAGACGCGCTCCCTCTCGCAGCCGCTGGCCGTCCCATAAAGCCACGGGCGAATTGTTGGCCAGGCGCACTGTCCGCGAACCACTGGTAACGTACTTCGTCCTTCTTGCTCGCTCTCTCTCTCTCTCTCTCTCTCTCTAAGCTAAACGGTAAAGTTCGTGCTCCCTGCCCTCCTTGAGTTAGTATCGCGCTCGCAGCAGCGCTGCTGCCTCCTGTCTCGCTCGCTGATCGTTTTACATCCTTAGTGACTAGAAAATGTGCTTTTCTCTAAGGTAAACACAGTCCGACGTAAAGTCAGAGATGTTCCGTAGGAGGAAAAGTTACGTAACTCCTTATGCTTTTCTTTGTGTCCGGTGCTCTCTCAGGGGGTCTTAGGGCTGCGATCGGTAACTCAGATTCGTCCGCCCCGAGTCCTTTAGTCAAGGCGGAAGTGCTTCTGGCTACTGACTTGGAAATGGCAGCTTTTGGTCTGGACACCAGGCACAAGAACAGCTGCCTGTTCAGTAAATTGAGAGAAAAAATAAGACTCTCCATGTGAGCCTTGGCACCCCGAGGACCACATGAATTAAAATCCCTTCCTTTCTTTCCTTCCATTCCCCATGCCCCCTCCCCCCCTCCTCTGCAGCGTGGACTGTTTTGCTACGGTTCCCAAGGCAGTTTATTACTAAATGAAGGCGTCTGAGCCGCAGGGCCTGGGGTTACTGTTTCGGGGGCAGCCAGCCTGTTCTGACCCCCCCCCCCCTCCGTTCTCTGCAGGGGCCCCCATCAGAGCGACCGCCGTCTGTTAGAGGCTTATGGAAACAGCTCAGAACTGCAGCTACGCTGTTACCATCGAAGGTAAATCACTCTTTCGAGCTCCATGCCGACATCCTGGTCAGTATTTCAGCATCCGCTCTTCCCATAACATCTGAATCCTTTTAGACTGTAAACCGACTGAGCTCTGATCTTGGGGTAAGAGGGTCGTCACGGAGACCAAAGGAGGAAAGTAAAACAGACACTCAGGCCATGCATGTCAAGCTAGCTTACATTTACCTTTAATTTGTTTAGCAGATGCTTTTTGTCCAAGGTGACACACATTTTATTCTTTGAGAGAGAAAGCAGGGTCAGAAAATTAGCATCATGCCGAAGGGTTTAACAGAGACATCACTCTGCTGACCCTGGGATTGAAACCTACAACCCTCTTATCACAGGCAAAGGGTCCTAATTCACTGGGCCACACTCCACCCCCCTCTGAATGATTGGTGACACACTGATCCCATCAGCATCTCTCTTGGTCATGTGGGTCTCCACTCCACCCGCAGCCTGTGGTTCTCTCCCAGTAAGCCGTCTTTCTGGAAAGGGCTGCAATGCCGCCCCCCCCCAGAGATCATGGCCCCATGCTCTGTGGACACGTGCCTCCCACCCAGAGGGAAGGGAAAAGCTGAGACGTGGGTTTTTACAGTAATGCGGTCGGGGGAACTGGAATCGTCCGAAGCATTTGAGTGAATGTCGATG